TATATATTCACGTTCACTTCACTTAAAAAAGCCTTTTCCCAAAGACACTCTAAAGGGCACTGTTCTTCTTGTGTGCATGCTTTATGGTTTGCCCTACTAAAACTAAAGAGGCCAGGGGACCTGTCCAAAAAAAAAAAAATTGCATTGTTCTGGTTCCTGTTCTGGTCAAAATTCCTAATTCAGAAAAGATCTTAACAGCTAAACGTTATGCAATGTCTGCTCACACAGTCTATCCAACAGTCTATCCAACAGTTTCATAGCAGATGTAAAGGCTTCAGTATTGACAGTTCTACCCCTGCGAAAGGCCTAATTTTTTGTGTACTATAATTTTTTCCTTTTTTCTCTCATATTTTACAAAACAGATCTGTCAAGGTCCCTGAATCAGATCATTTTGTCAGTGTGGGTACTTAGTACAATGCATCCTTCTTTTCTAACAGGAAAAACAATTGTATCACGGACAACATTTATATACAAACATTGACAAATGCAATAAGATTGTGATGCTTCTCTTTGAAATTTAGACTTGCCTACGATTTCTATATCTCACAAGTAATGGTCTTGCCCTTAGTCACTGTTTATTTGTTAACTCTTCACCAAGCTGTATTAACTTAAAGCTTTAAAATAGCAAAAATGATGTTTCTCTTCTAGTTTTTTGTGTACACCCAGCTTCTCTCAAATTTTAGAGTCTGAGATCAGGCCTCATTCTGTTTGATTTCACTTTGCATTTGTTTGACTACTTGGGAGCCATGGTGAAATGTTTTGGAAAAGCCTGAGTTAGACAGAGGTTGTTTCCCAAGACTTTGAGTGGGGGTGAAATTCTCTCTTTTATTGAAGTAAATAACTTCAGTAGTTTCAGGGTTTCACACTGGGACCGTCATTCAGTAACACCCCGATCCAGTAACGGACTGCAGAGATAACTCATATTATTAAAGTTAAAGCATGTGTTTAAATGCTTTGCCGAGTTGGGGTTTAAGATTGTTAACATCTGTATCTCTCCAATCCTCACAAATCAAAAGCAAAATTGCAAAGTGTTAAGTAGTGGTTCAAAAGAGTACTTACTAAACTCCTTCTGTTGCCTATGAACTCCAATCAAAATGGTTTGGGACAGTTTCTAAACAGAATAGAGCATGAGAATGAAAAGGCATTGCTTAAAGAAAAGTTGCACAATTTAACCTTTCTACCATTGGAATGACAGGAGTGCTTTTCAGATGATTACATTTTCCACCCGACTGGATGATCCACAATGCAAGAGTTTATTGGTAAGCAAACAACAGATTTGCCAAGAGTTAGAGAGCTTTGATTTCCAGTCTTTTCCATCTGCTCCACCTCCCATTAATGATTCAGTTCATGAGCAGCCCTGCCTGATCTCTGTTCATGCAAGCAAAATATAGAAAAACGCTAGTTGCCAACTCACTAGTTTATGTTCACCTTCAAAATGCCAAATGCTGCATTACATTATCCCAAAGCCATGTATATCCATGAAAAGAAATTGTTAAGTTCTTCATAGAACCTTGGTGCTGTATTTTTTCACAAAGAAAGAAAATCCTTATAAGAAACAGAATCCAGCTATATTTAGAATCAGCCTAATAGGATAATATGGCATGTCTATTATTATTCAGACAGATGGAAATTTATATTGCTTCATTTTAAAGAAGAAGCTTCTTAACAAAAAAAATCTGAGCTTGCTGGTTTTGCAAATAAGCAGTCTACAGGCAAGACACAACTTCCACATTATTATTTTAACAGCCCCTGACATCTGTAGGCCTGGTGCAGCTCTGAATCGACTGGCAGGAAATACTCTACTTTTTATTCTCTAAGAAAGAGTGCCTATGCCATCCTGCAGTACAAAGGCAGGTTTTACCTTTGTGTACTCAAAACATTTCCCAAACAATGAGAATTTTATAAAGTAGCTGGGACTTAACAACATTCTCCAAACTGTGCCACAGGTTTAGAGAATTCAGGTTGGACTTCTCTAAATGCAAATAGGTTATAACCAGATTGGGATATGTTATACCTGGGTTCTAGGGTCAGATTGACTCTCCTGTGGGCTCCTGGCTATTAGATTTTGTGGGGCCCCTCTGTACAAGTCTTTTTCCTGGGAGGGAGTTTGGTGCAGGAGGGGGCTGGGGATTGGGGTGTAGGAGGGAGTGCGGGGTCTGGGAGGGAATTTGGGTACAGGAGGGGATTCTGATCTGGGGCAGGGGGTTGGGATGGAGGAGCGCATGCAAGATGCAGGCTCCAGCCAGGAGGCACTTACCACAGGCGGCTCCTGGCCAGTGGTGCAGCAGGGCTCAGGCAGGCTCCCTGCATGCCATGGCCCCACGCTGCTCCCATAAGTGGCCGGCTGCTGGCACGTCTCTGTTGCCCCCAGGAGCAGTTGGACAGCATGTCTCCGTGCGCTGCCCTCACCTGCAAGCGCCGCCCCCGTTGCTCCCACTGGCCAATGGGAGCTCCGGGGATGGTGCTGGGAGAGGGGGCAGTGTGCAGAGCCACCACCCCCTCCCCGCCAGGGGCCACAGAGATGAACTAGCAGCCAGACACTTCCGGGAGCAGCGTGGGGCCACAGCATGCAGGGAGCCTGCCTGAGCGCTCCGCTGCACCACGGGACTTTTAGTGGCCCAGAGTTGGAGATCACTGCCTGTAATTTATTTTTTCAGGGTCCCCCTTGAGCCGAGGCCTTGGGCTGCAGCCCCTAAAGCCCCTGCCTTAATCTGGCCTTGCTGGGTTCCCTCACACAGTAACATAGTGTAGTGTGGCCAGGCCCTGTAAAATTAGATGCAGTCCATTTAGGGCCCAGTTTTTAAATTCATTCTCCCTTCTTGCATCAGCAAATAATTGCAGGAGCAACATTGTGGGAGCAATTAAATATGACCACAGGTTATTGCAATTAGGTACCAAATTTTCAAAAAGTATTCTCGATATTTTTGCATGATGGAATCTCCCCATCTGTGAATCTGTCAACTGCATGTGTCAATTTTGCACACAGGTACTTGTGATCAAAAAGTGCAAGCAACAGTGTTTGTTTGTGCACTCTCAAAAACATAGGCAGAGATGTAGCCCCTTTGAAAAAAATCTCGGCTCTGTCTCTTGCTTGAGGCAGCAAATCAGATGATTACATGCCTAACTGGAATTATTTAAAAAAGATGCCAATTTTTGAACATTTTAAACACAGAACAGAAAAATGATTGCAAAATTAACATGGAAGGAAATGTTGATCATGACATAATGGACACAAACGCAAAACAGAAGATCATATACCAAGTTTTCAGTATTATTCATTCGTGAATCATCTCTGATTTAAAAGATGATAATTTCAAATAACTGGTCTGTTCCTAGATTTAAGAGTTTTAAAAAATCATTAGAAAGCCGAGAGAATGGATTGCAGAATAATGCTAATATTTTTGATAACTTTCACTTAATAGTAACCTCTGCTTTTTCAGAATTTCTTTTAGCTCTATTAGTCTTCAATATATCTATTATGTATTCACTCCTATCACTGACTTGCAATAAGGCCTATTAATATATTCATTTTCTCTTTCTAGTATTAGTTTTCCATTCCCATTTCCTTTATCTGACTTTCTGCCTGATTTACTTTGATGATAAATCAATGTCTTTCCTTTTCAGATAATTTAGTTCATTCATGACTTTTTAATTCATATCTTCATATTAAAATATGATGCTGATTATGTTCATGTCAAATTGATTCTCCCTCTCTCCCTCTTCTTTTTCAGTAACCATATAGCATGATGCTACCACTATGATCCCAATTATTTTAATAGTTTAATTTCACTTACACCATGTCTCCTTCTGAGGGTCCTAATACCATCTTTACCAGCAATAACCCTTTTCACATATAGAAAAAGCTCCATGGCATACTGCTTGCTATTTAGTTTTTTACTCTGATCCTTAAGAATTCTAACTCCAGTTTGCATAGTGCACTTGTGGTACAGGGATATCTCAATCATAATATTTATAAGTATTAGTTAAAGTAACACACTTAATCTGAAGCTGAATGCAACCTTATAAAAATATGGAGAAATTTATTCACAATATCATAGATTTTAAGGCCAGAATGGATCGTTATGGTCATGTACACTGACTCCCCGCATAACACAGATCACAGAACCTCACCCTGCAATTTCTACATCAAACTGATAATTTCTGTTTGAGCTACAGCTTTTAGAAAAGACATCCCTTCTTGTTGTAAAGACTTCAAGCAATGGAGAACCTGCATCCCTAGGTAAATTGTTCCGATGAATAATTACCCTTTCTGTTCAAATTTTGCACTTTACTTCAGATCTGAAGTTGTTGAACTTCCAACCACTGGCTCTCATTATGCCTTTTTCTGCTAGTTTAAACAGACCTCTGCTATCAAAAATCTCTTTGTGTAGTTACTTGTAGACCAAGTCGCCTCTTAGTCTTTGAGCTTCTTTAGTCTCTCATTATAAGGCAAATTTCTAGACCTTGAATCATTCTTGTAGGTCTTTTCTGAAACCTTTTAAACAACAAAACAAAAACAATCCCACATACTTTTTCAACATCCCTTTGAAGTGGAGAACCAGATCTGGGCAAAGTATTCCAGTAAAGGACTCTCTAATACAACATACAGAGATAGTAACACCTTTCTGCTCCTATTTGTTATTCCCCTGATTTTATGTCCAAAGATCACATTTGCCATTATATATACAGCATGGCACTGGTAGTTCGTGTTCAGTTGGTTACCTACCATGACCACTAAATTCTTTTAGTGTCACTACACTCCAGGATACAGTGGTCTATTATTTAATTTATAATTAACTAGCCCAGTGCCCATTTCCACACAAGCCCTGGGATCAGTAACAGGAAGGAAACAAGATTCCTAGAGAAAGATTTTTAGATTGTTTCAAACCCAATTCTTTGAATGAGCTCTTTGTATGTGCCCCAGGAGACTGGTCTGGGGAAGTATATAAATCGTAAGAATGTTCAAAGGCCATTAACCTAAAGAAAGCACATGAGCCATATTATAAGGTATGTTCCAAGCTCATCCCCAAATCATTTGCCTTTTATTCTCCATTTCAGTTAGTTACATTTCTATTAGTTTCCACCAGGATTGTGCATGCACCTTGACGTGTTCACAAAAGTTCCACGATACAGAGTTTCACAACTGGGATAGTCCCTACATTCAGGATACCAGGATGACAAACATATTCTGGAGAAATTCTCATTAAATAGGATGGGGAGAACATAATTAATACACTGTACCAACTACAATGCATCAAAGACATAGAACAGACTAGATCAATTTACCACAAAACTCACAAAAAGTAATTGATCAAAGAATATCTCTCTTATGCAAAATATACATTTTTAGGATATAATTTTAATACATATTTGATATTTATTGATGTTGCTTCTGTGATAGTTTGAATAAAAAACCCAAATATTCTTGCTGACAGAATTTTATTTCTCATAATACTTATAGTCTGAGGTAACAATGAAAAAAGACTGTGTACTGTGAACAAAGTCTGTGATGTTTGTCTGCAGTCACATTTCTCTTATCAAAGTGAAAAGTAAACAAAAATTGGCATGTACACTGGAATTCATAAAAATATAGATATGGCAAACTGAGAAAACAAGAACTTGTAGCAAAATCCACTCTGTCCATGGTCATGACCCTTGCAAAAAAAATACCTTTGTTATGAGGGAAGTGAAGACAGATGTAGTTTACATCACTATCATTGTAAGTGTGTGCCTTTGCATGATCCACAGCACAACCATACTGCGGGAACCAGGGAGAATACACAGAGAGAGGCACGTGGTTCTTTGCATGGAGTCTGAGATCTGATGACTTTGAATTCAGCTTCCTCTGACATAGATGGCAAACGCTGATATTCCATGCACACACATTGTATTTACAGCTGACTCATCAACAGTGACTAGTCACCTCTTCCACTGGCAGCAGCAATTGAAATCAGTCCTTCATCTTCATAATAATCTCTACTTCCCATGTGACGGCTTAATGACCTGTTCAATGCACGAGTTGTTTATCATGGCCCATTCAGCAGCAGTAGTCTCTTTCCAGTACAGTCCTTGGTATGGCTAAATTCCATTGTCCCTTTTTCAGCAGTCAAAAATCCATGATAAATTCTGTACAACACTGTAGTCAATATAACAGCAGCACCAGATATTATATTAATTCCTTTGCTAAAAAGCTGTTTGCAATTATCTCTCTCTATTGGCAATGTTTTACCAAAACTAAATCATTGTACATCTCTAAATATCAGAAATGTATACTTTGATAAATATATTATAGTACAAGAAGTCTGACATGCATGTCATGCTGTAGAGCTAGGCTATATACAGAAGAATATGTTACATGGTCAACAATAAATGTTATTTCTCTTCCTAACAAAAAATATAAACATATGACAGTCAGGGATTATTCAACAATCTCAAGGATCTCTTAAGACTTAGTTTAGCTTTTTTTTTTCTTCCATAAGACTATGTTGTTGGGTGTTTTTTTCCTCACCAGCCCAAAATATCAAATCTACTATTGCATTTGTACTGTTGCGTAAACAGGTTCTTACTTTTTAAATTGAAAGAAAAAGCCACTGGAGGGGATACCGTTTGAATACAGTAATGAATGTTGGTTGCTAGGTAGCGGGATTGATGCGGCTGCAGTAGACAACCAGTTAGAATGGCAAAATCATTGCTAAATCCCACGTTTCAAAGATCTTCAAAGTTCCCACATTAGGTAGGCTAAAGGATATTAACCTACACTTGAAATGTATAGTCTGTACCAAAAAGGGGGAAAAGGAGAAAATGTACTCAACTGTTAATCTTAAAAGATGGGGACATTTTAAAGGTACTTCTGTGCTTTATGGAGACAGATGAAGAATACAGCAGACACGTAGCAAAACAGACAGACGAAACAACATATAGAACAAAGCACCTCAAAAAAACACTGACTGAAGAAATTTATGAAGCTCATGAATCATATTTAAGGCTGGTCAAACCCCTTTTGAGAACTACTGCCCTCCTATATTTGTACAGATAAAAGCAATAATCTTCTTGCTTTTACATGGCACTCTGCCTCTGAAAATGTTGAAGAACCCTGGAGTAGAAAAATGACTACAGTACCAAGCAGCACTTGCTAGCTTAAAATTGCAAGCCTGGATGGTGTTTACCTTTCTTTCATGTTTTGTGCCTTCCCCAAGCCATTAAGAAAGAGATCTGGCCTCAGCTTGCGTGTAACCAGTAATGACAACCTCTTTGCAGTTATCTGTGTGCAAACAACCGGAGACATTCAGAACTCTGATACAGCAATCTAGTACCAAAGTTAATCAAGAAATCAAACCATTTAAAAACAAATAATTTAAAGAAATTTAAAAGGTTAAACAACAAAAAACAATCCCACATACAGACCATTTCATCAGTGCTTTCATTTCAGCAGGATGGTACAATGCAAGAACACACATCCAGAGCCATCTATGGTCCCAGTAATCTGCAACACTGCTGTCAGGTGATGGAGACAGTATGATCCATGCAAATGATCAGACCCAAATCACATTGTGTGCGACAAAGACAAGATTCCAGACATCTTCAGAATGGGTTAGAGTCACAAGTAATGAAGGTTCAATGGAGTGATTGATTATCATTTGGAAGCACGTTGTTTTAAATATATCTCCCTGAAAATACACTTATTTATTGAATATACTGGCCAATGGAGTCTACTAGCTGTCCTTTTATTGCCATGGTAAAGTAGGACAATATAGTAGATAAAAGGAGAAGCACTACTTTAGACAATCTTAAAAGCCAAGATAAGAATCTTCAGCTACCCAAGTGGCATTTCTTACTACTGACATTTATATCATGCAGAATTTATACTGTATTTATGGAACCTACAGTTAATGCTACATTTATTTCCATAATGTGGTAAACAGTATTTGAATTAATGCTATGTAGCCGATTGATGCCATCTGGTTTACAATATAGATGGGATGGGAGATCGAGAGCGTCTTAGAGGACAAGGTGAGCTGTAGGGTGATGTTACTGGAGACAGTCTCAGAGCATTGCCTGCCAAGCCAGCTATGTTGTTTAAGCTTCGGGATTTTTCGTATCCTTTTATGAGAAAATGCACAGACATCAGTTGAATTCAGCCAGAAAATAGACAAAGACAAACAATACAATGCAATGTAATCAAATGTGCTATTTTGGGTTCAAAGGGACTTTGCCTGCAAAGAGCTCAATGCTGAGACAAAAGAGAAAAAAACGGGATCTTAACGTAGCTGTCCTTTCCAATGAGAATAAACAAAGCCATCACAAATCATATGTGCTACATATTGTTAGACCTACTTTTCAGTACAACTCCACTGGTTTTAGTAGGGTTCAGCTAAGTGCAAATCAAGTAATGATTTGGTCATTCATAGAGTACTATTGACCAATTGCTGTAGATTGTGTCATTTGAGTAATATACTCACGGTCTTTAAAAGAACAGATTGTAAAAAAGTGTTAGAAAGATATATTCTGTGTTAAACCCAATTTCTAATATGAGCAGATTTTCCTTAATATACAGAAAACTACATAGTTATATAAAGTAACTTTATAGTTATTCATCTAGAGGATGAAATAATGTTGTTGTAAAGAGGCTCTATCTTCAGGAATGTTAAGGCTCAGACTTTGTATCTAATATAAAAGTATAAGATAGCTAAGTTTGCAAATTTGCTATTTCTTTCTGATTTGCAAAGTTAAATCACAATTATTTGCAGTCTTTATTTAACTAATTCTAATGAAAAGCACAACATGACTGCTCATAAGCCTAACATGATGAAAAATTAATTCTGAAATCGGGTAGTCACATCTAAAAACTCACAATTTGGAGGGAACATTGCACTTGCAAACATTTCTGTTCACATATACTGTCAGGTCAATCTACCCACTTTGTGCTGCATATAGATTTGTCTGAATTTAGTAGAGACTGTGCTTTTAAATCACCAGAAAACATTGCTTATCATTGTCTCACTGTCTTAGAACTCAAATAGAGGGAGTCCACTTACTGTTACACAATAAAACCTGAATAATTCTACCCATGAAGCAATGAGTTAACCCCATTGGTTTGAACAAAAATACTCAGGGATAGCATCCAGAAGACTACCACAAAGTACAAACACTTCTGGGTGATTCTTCCCACATTCTACTTCAAATTTTGCCTTATACTAAAAGATGTGAGCCCTAAACCTGCAAATACTTATGTGCATGTTAATTGTAAGCACAAAGAGTCCTATTGACCTCAGTGATGCTACTTACCAGCTTAAAGCTAAGCAGATATCTAAGCAGTTTGCAAGACTGGGTATTTGCATGTAAGGTACATGCAATGAAATCATGAGATTCTTGCTGAAGAATATTAAATGTGTAGATGAAAATACAGATGAGCAGTTACTTGTTCATCTTCTACATAGGATAATTTTGGTGGTATTTATATCATATTTGGGAAGAGATGATTAGCAGTTTTAGGAAAATCTGGTCTTATGTGCTAGGGTCTCTCCAAAATACATGTTCTTTAAGGCAAAAATTGCGTCTTCTTTTGTGGGTTTGTACAGGGCCTAGCACATTGTGAACCATATTGGACACAAATATATAATAGAAATTATAATTAATATTTCTTCCAATCTCAAAATTTCTTGACTGATGTACTGAGAACATTTGCTAAAAGCAAATCTATAATCCAAAGTCTGCTAATACATTGTGCAGTGTTATCTCCAGATTGTAAGGGCAGGTTGGATTGTGATGCTTCACAAACCTCCAGTTCATTTTAAATTCATTTTAGGAGCTTCTATTGGAATTTGCACAGATTAGAAAGAGCTAGCTTGAGAAAAAAAATCTATTTTTATTCATATTTGTCCAAATCTCTTGGAAACATACTCTTGGCAATATGGGAAGGTAGAGAGATTCAAAAGAAATTAGGTGATGTCTTTTACTCAACTTAGAAAGATAATATTTTGTTATGTTTTCTTTTCCCTTTTTTAATGACAAAAGCAAAGGAGAACTGATAGGTAGGGGAAGGCAAAGATGCTATGACAACAAGAATGAGATCTGAAGAGTGGGGAAAAAAATGCACAGGATGGATGAAAGCAGGGGGTAAGAGTTTGATCCAAAACCCATTGAAGTCAGTGAGAGTCTGTAATGAAAGGAAAAAGCATTGAAACTCAAAATAAAAAAAATGCAAAACTATGGCATTTGATATGTGAATTAAATTTCAGATCTTCAAATTATTTTGATGATATCCTGAGAGTGCTTTCAGAGTATGAAGTAGCATAATCTGTGTTGAATAAACTTCAGGCCCAATGGTCAAAGTATTTTGCTTATAGTGAAGCTTATGGCTAGAGAAGTCAAAATTTTACAGATAGAAAATATTCCCACCAAATAATATGATTACATTGGAACCAGATATTTTCCACGGGAAAATGTCAATTTCAATAACATAATTCAGATTTCCTGGGGAAATTCTGAAACATTTTTATATATAACTTTCAAATTTAAAAGTGTTGTTTCTTTCAGATTTTTTGTTTCAAAAAAATTGATAGAATATATTTTAAGCCATATCAAAACAATTTTTTGTTGGCATCAGCTTGAAACTTCCCACCGAAAACCCCAAATTTTTCAGATGAAAATTTTTGAATAAAGAATTTTCATTTGAAATTTATTTCAGAGAAAAGTTTGGTTTTTCTGACCTGTTCTAGTTGTGGTTTTTACCAAGTTAACAGTAACCAATGGCATGTTGTTACACTGAAATGTCTAATTGAAATTATACACTTGATCTTGCTTGGTGCAGAGTAATTAGGAGTTAAGGGTAATGAGCAATTTGCAAGAGTTCCTCAGTACCTCACCAGACTGGGCCCTAAAAAGGAATTTCTTGAAGAATTATAAGTATCTAGTACATATTACAGATTCTAATTCTCAATGGGCAGAGGCCTAGGATCTGCGAGCAAAAAATATACAGTTGTACACCTACACCTGCATATGATATCACTGCAATTGCTCATGTTATTACCTTGCATTAATGGATAATGGTATTATTCTCCAATTATAGTAGTTATGCACAGAAATGCAGCTGTGCACACTCAGATTCACATTTCTGCATACAGATCTAAGGGCAAGATTTTCAGCAGTGCTCAACCTTGGCCTCATTCTGCTCCCTCTGAAGTCAATGGAAGTAGAGAGAGGCCAATGCTGAACACTTTTGAAAATCCCACCCAAGAGCCTACAAAATGCTGAGTTATCAGACTTGAGCATGTTTTAAAGAAGCATGTGAGTGACTTAATGAGAAAGAGCTACATTGCAGTCTTTTTTGTAGGGTACAGACAAATGAAGACACAAGAAAAATGACTGTCAGATATACCACAAAGGGGGAGTGAGGAAAATAACTAATGTTTTCTAAAAGGAAGGACCAGAAGAGGAAAGAAAGAAAGAAAGAAAGAAAGAAAGAAAGAAAGAAAGAAAGAAAGAAAGAAAGAAAGAAAGAAAGA